CTTCTAACGTATTAGAGGTTAAGAAACAAACATTTCCATCCCATCAGGTTTCCTCCTCCTGTCTTTCAATTAAAAGGGCTTTCAAATCCACCAGTGCAAATCCTTCTCTGGAATATCTTACAGTGCCCGGGCATTTTATTGTGTTTCATTAGTTCAAAACAGATAGCCAGACCCTCAATTTGTTTCAGTTGGTAAAGCAACATTTAACTCAATGAAACTATGCCAACTCATATCAGTCCAGAATCTATCTGGCTCCTTTTACTATTAATAAACCAGCAACACTATGTGATTTTGTGTTTTATAGTGTCTTCCTGATGCAAAACAAAACCTCTTGAAAAAACTGCATCTCTAATACTATTATTCATTCACTTTTATCCACCAGAATTGCATAGTGGTCTTAAAGATGCAACTAATAACTATCCACAGTATAAACTCTAGGCAACAGTATTTTTCTAGGCTCTGCTGAATTCTTTTCAAATTTCAGGGTTGTATTTGCACTTACCCTTTCTTACGACTGCTGATTTTGCCTCCAACTGTCTTCCAAGTAAAGAAAAAATGAACAACTATTACTAAAAGAGGACAGATAAGTTTTGAAATATTTCAAAAGTCTTTCAAGTTTCATTCTTTTCTAACCATAATTACTGCCCTTCTCCTGGGAAGGATGGCTTGATTCTTTTAAAGAAGTACCTCTCAGACTTTGATAGCCCATGGGCAGAAATACTCGGCAAGTATAAGGTGTGCATGCCATCACAGTTGGCTCCCCTGTTTGACTTCTGCTTTGATTATATTAATTCACTGTTCTTGCAAGCACTATGAATACTTGAAGTCTTTGTTATGTCTTCTCTCCCCTTCTTTTATTTATTGTACGTAAGAAGTGTGAAATCTCAAAGGCAAGATCTAAAGTTGGAATCAGAGAGAATATTTTCACTTCCTGTATCTTTTAAGTAGAAAGGCCCGAGTTTCTCAATGCATTGCTAGGGGATGAATTTATATAAAAGACTTAAAACTGCCTTTTGATGTATTATAGAAGAGTCACCACAATTGAGAATTTGTTCAGTCAAAATAAGGCATCCAAATGCTACTGGGTTTTACTCATACTATGACGCTATTACATCAAAACGGTAACATGGTATAAGTAACAACAAAATAATGAAATTATATTTTACTGTTGTCTTTAGGCTTATTTCGCAGTTACTTCAGTTAAGTTCACATTTAACTGTCTTCCTAAACTTATGGCAATTCCTGACCAGAGGGAAAGGTGTGAACACACTAGGCACACCTCTACTGCTGCTATTTGGTTGTACTTATAAGGTCTCCATCAAGGCTCTGGGCATTGTTGTGCTACCATTGTTCAAAGATGTATCATGACAAGGTGATGCCTGTGCTTCCATTTGATGTAATTTCTAATTCCACAATAGTCCCTTTAACACAGGCTAAAGAGATCCTGTAGGGCAAAAGTAAGGAACTGGAGGACTCTAGTGAATTAGCATTTGACCCACACAGGATCTCACATCCTTCCTTCCAAAGGACGAAATAGATGTGAATCTGATTTCTTTATGCAGAAAAATCTCAGTAATACAGAAGTAACGCCACTTTGAAGTGTGTCCCCAGAGAGATGAAATTGTCATGATTCTGTCTACTCTGCATAGTGCTTTAGCTATGTCAGTCCAACCAAAAATGTGCCTTATGTAGCCAAGGAAGCTATTTTTAGATCTGAAATTTTATCCAGGTTAGAACTGGATTAGTAACAGCACATTGCCTAACCTTTGAGGCGGAAGCTCTGGGCTGTGCCATTGCAAAGGTTCCCAGCTGGAAATCTTTCCCTCAATGAAACATAATGTTGTATAGTACATGGTGGTTTCTTGGCTGTGAATATTCACATACTTATAGAATGAAAGTATTGTAAGTTGAAATTGCTTCACTTCCCCGCAATACTGCCAAGTAAATGGTTCAGAAAGTAACATATAGAGTACCAAGAAAAATGCAAAATTTATCTTCAGAGGGAGCATTTCCTCCATTTTGGGAGCATTATCAGATTCTAAGATACACTAAAACATTTCTTAGTGTATCTATTCATACTTATTATGATGTTGTGAACATAACATATGGCATGATATGTACTATTTTATATTATTTATGTTTATGTTTATAGTGGCAATAATTTCCCACTACCCCTTACATTTACCATGATCTTATGATATGAGAGGACTAGCAGTTAAGAAACACAGGTGTCATTCCTATTTTTCTGTCCTGAATGTGTGACTTCAATAATAGTAATTTGGTGACTCACTGCCTTTTTCCATCTGCAAAACCTGAATAATAATTGCTTCATGTCATAAGCCTTTTGATTTCTTTGAGACCTTTCAGTGGAATACACCACCTGCATGCACATACACAATACTATGAGATCAGACAGTGTGCCAATACTCCTCCACTCCATCTATTCCTCTCATACCTCAAACCAGTATAACTTTCAGACATTTCCCAGGGATGCCAGAATATCATGGTAAATTTTCAGCTTTGAATGGACTAAGATATTTTTGTAGAAAGATGTACATTTAGGGGAATTTGGAAAAGAATAAAGACGACTGATTTCTGAGAACCCATGGTTTGCATTAGGTGCAAAGAAGTCACTGTGGATAGGTCAACACGGGTTGGATTGACCTGAAATTCTCTCAGAGAAGAAACTGTAGAAAACAGTGGCATGCAGAAATGTGTAATGAAACCTAAAAATGAGATTTAGCCAGAACTTTAAGAATATTAAGAACTGCACTTAAATTCTGTATTTCTAAGACTGGGAAAAGGATAGAATGTCAGAATGCAACAGTTTGATACCAGAATGTATAAATCTGTTTTACAGGAGAAATGAAAGGGAAAAGACCATGCTGCACTCAGAACTATCACAGCTAGTACAGCATGAATGGGAGAAAAAGCAGGTGTTACATAGTAAATGACTGCAACACATGCCTTGATTGCTGGAACATGCCACACCAAGCAGTAGTAATGGCTTGTGGGAAAGTGGAAGCAGGAAGGAGAGGGGGACCAAAACCTTGCTTAGCCCCCAATGAGCCTTTTTCTGTCTTCGAACACTCAAAAAGAGCTTATGACGACCACTCAGAGCCTACAAATGCCAGCTGAGAAAGATCTAGCTCTTCAACTTTTGTGGAGCTGTTGCCATGCAAGCTCCCGCTGAACTTGCTGGAAGTGAAAGTGGTTAGAATCAGTGAAGATATAAAGCAATGGAAATTACAGACTGCCACTTGGAACAACAGTGGCTATCTGTAATGCAGTAGTTCCACAGTGTGAGCTACCTAATGTTCATTGCTTTTTCTTGAACTAGACTGAAGAAATTTTGTGTATTTGGGAACATCCTCATTTTGCTTAATAAAAACTCGGAGCCTCAAAATTTGGGTTGGCAGGAAAAAACCAAAGAAATGGACGCCAAATTCTCATGGTGAAAACACGTCCATTCACCCATAATCTCCTAGAACGGGCAATCACAAATAATTTCATTGTTCTTCTGAAAAAGGTACCAAATGCAATGATATACCTGGCATAGAAAAAGAAATGCAGCACTAAGCATCATCAGAACTTTTCACTAGGGCACTGATTTCAATCCTGTTAAAGCAGTTTTTTTATAGTTTATCCATGAGATAAAAGTATCAAAATGTTCACAGGCAAAAACTTCACATGATCACACTGAAGAAAAGGAAATATCCTGTAGATAATATTTTAAAGCTGATAGCATTTGCTGAAAAGAACTGAACAACACAAAATGGGAGCACCTGAGAGGGAGAAAACGTATAATCATAGTTGTCAGAAATTTTAAAGGTGAACTGTTTACCTGGGTAAATAATTGCCTTGAAGGGGTTCTGCTTTTGTTTTGGCAGAAAATTAGTTATCCAACATGTTACAGCTTTTCAAATAATGACACTTTCCTGTACAAATATTTTGGCAGATGTACTAATCTGAAAAATGTGCATCACTTGGCCTGCAACTGACTATACATTACAGCTGTTACAGGTGGATAATCTAATCTACCACATCTCAGGTAATTATGTCCAATTAATCTATCTCCACAGATTTGCATTATGACTTAGGTGTAACCAGAGTGGGGAACAGTACATAAGCTATGACACCCTCAAAGCTTCTTTGGGGTCACAATGCTTTCTCTATTTCATTCTTGATCTTGAGAACATAAAGGGAGGCATACCTAACTACTAATATATACTAAATTATTACACATTCCAATCTGCTTCAGTTACCACCCTTACCATCAAGCAGGTAGAACAGAGACAATGATCTCTTTGACCTTTTTTCTATTCAATTCTCTTGCTCAAGGAAGCAAGAAAGCAGGCCCTTTTATATGTCTACACACACACACACAAAAAAAAAGTCAACAAGAGCTGTAAGGAAGATTCTAATCTCTCTTAGCCCTCTTAGCCCTATATACAGACAGTCAGAGTCACCATCCAATTCTGATACAGCCAAACTCCTCACGTAAAAGCCTTAGTATATCTCCAAAGAGTGATAAATGAAATTTATCAAAAAGGCTTGTCAAAATCTTCATAGACGTTCAGGAGCAGTAATTTCTGTTATTTCTATCTAAAGTCCTTGCATATTTTCTTGAATGATAGTCATATTCACAGCAAATATGATTAAAATCTAATCAAGAATCTCACAGATCAGAGGAAAAATTTAGAGCCCTTTTATTACTGAGTTACATTTATGCCCACTTTACCTCAAGCGAAGAGTTTTGAAGTTTCCCAGTTAGGACTTCTTTCTCTTTCTCTAGTTGCTTTAGTTCACACTCAGATTTTCTTCTAAATTCCTCTAGCTGTGTCTGGAGCTCCTAAAGAAGAAAAAAAAGGAAAAAAAAAAAGGAAAAGAGCATGCAATAGCTGGGACAAAACATGCAGCATGATAAAGAAAGAACATTTCTTCTACATTAACCTAGATAACAGAGCAGTTTACACAGTAATACATGCTACTGTTTACACATTAATACATGCTACTGTCTTTTCATGTCACTCATGTATCATTCAATCAAAGTTAACAGTTTGGTTTGGTTCTTTCTAATATTAGTGTTAGACAATGCAGCTCACATAATCCTAATCTTCTACTGAAAGCTTCCCTGAAGCAGGAAACTGTAAAGCATGAAGAGTCAGGTTGTTTTGCCTTGAGTGGTGTTAGTGTTCAAAAATAATTTAGTATGCAAAAGTCACCCACAAGATCTGAAAAAACATAAACATACATTGACCATATAAATAACCAGATGACTAATTAATAGGCAATTAGTGGAAAAGGGAATCAAAGGAAGCACAATCTTATAGCATCCATAAAGAAAATCCCAGTGAGGAAGTAAAAATAAAATAAAATAAAAAATTGAAGACTATACAATCACCTTATTGCTGGAAACAATTTTTGCAAAATCAATAATACCACTTGCAAGACAGTGACCAAGAGCTTGTAGTAATCATTTGTAGCAAATGTGAGCAATTGTTTATTGTAGAAAGACTGAATGTGCAACTTCTAGAAATGTCCTGAAGTGATATATATTACAAGCTTATGTGTGCTTGCTCTTCCAATTTGTGTCAATTTGCTGACTCAAAAAAATATTCTACCATATTTTCAGAAATCACAAATGGAAGAAAAACAGAAAAAATAGCAATTTAACACCTTCCCCATCCTATACAGCCCCTTCTCACAGCCTCCCCCCACCCCATTTTTATAGCACAATGACTTAAGAATTATCATGGAATCCTAGCACCTTAGAATGGGTTGGGTTGGAAGGGACCTTAGAGATCATCTAGTTCCACACCACTGCCATGGACAGGGACACCCTCCACTAGACCAGGTTGCCCAAAGCCCCATCCAACCTGGCCTTGAACACTTCCAGGGAGGGGGCATCCACAGCTTCTCTGGGCAACCTGTTCCAGTGCCTCACCACCCTCACAGTAAAGAATTTTTTCCTTATATCTAATCTAAATCTACCCTCCTTCAGCTTCAGGCCACTGCCCCTTATCCCATCACTCCATGTCCTTGTAAACAGTCCCTCTCCAGCTTTCTTGTAGGCCACCTTCAGGTACTGGAATACAAAATAACAGAATACTGGAATTCTGGAATTACCCAGAATGCTGGAATATTGGAATTTGAGATAACAAAAACTAAGAAAGTGGTGATCATTGGGAGGATGGCATGATATTAGGAAACAGAAGCACAGGCAATAGTCACATATTCCTTCCAACTCATAATTAAATAAAGGAGAATACATTAGCAATTAACAGTTTAAAAACATGAAAACTGTTATGTAGCAGTTAAAGGATGAAATCAAACACAGATACATAAATATTGCAAGGGAGAAATTAGCTTTAGTTTGCCTGTAAGAAAAGGAGAGGATATAATGGTCTTTTTGATTAAAACCTGAAGATCAGGTGTTTGCAGCATTCCCACTGTAACTCTGCCAACTGACTTCCTTCTCTATCTTAATTTTTTTATCTGGAAAACAGATACAATACTTCTCTTCTTAAATACGTTATCACAGAGGCACTGACTGGCTTGGCCTTGGCCAGCGGTGGGTCTGTCTTGGAGCCGGCTGGCATTGGCTCTGTCAGACACAGGGGAAGCTTCTAGCAGCTTCTCACAGAAGCCACTCCTGTAACCCCCCCCGCTACCAAAACCTTGCCACGCAAACCCAACACAAAGGTATAGCAGCATTAAAACTGGGAAAAATGGGTAGAAGTATATTCTTAGCACCAAAAAGGTTCTAAAGAACACTTGACCATTAAGTAGTCTGATTGTCCAATTCTACAAACTGCTATAATAAAATTTTCTTTTGTCTAGATGTCTGACAAACACATAAGTACATTAGGAGACAGAAAGTAAATTCCTCCTTAGTTTATGCCCAAATTTGGCAAACCACTTGGGCACGCACTGAGTTGTAAGCTTCACTAAGCATTAAAGCGTGTGCTTAAAATTAAACACGTTTGCAGGTTTTCCTCCATTTGAATACGTTTCAGCTCACATTTAGGTTCCTACTGCACAGAAACATTACATATTGCAAATTTCCTGAAGCCAAAGGATCCAGCCACAGACAGCACTTCTGACGAGAGTGGAATTCTGTGAAGAATCTCTTAAGACAATCGCTGCTAATGCATACTGAGATCAAAAAATACAGCTCAGCCATTTAAAACACATTGAGAGAAGGTATTGCTCAGGCAACTTGTCTGGGTCCATGAGAAGATAAGCATTTTTTCTGACTAAAGTTAAATAAGGACATATATATGCATGTGTGTGTTTGTAACTAGTCATCATTTCACTGGTAACACCTGTACTCTGAATCCATTTACCAACACTTTGCAGAATTAGATTCTCTGCCTAAACAATGCAAAATTTTTATTAAATCAATGTATTTGAGCATTTCACAGCAGCAATCCATGGAAATTTAAGTCAGAGTTTTGAATACACCTACAATATATTTTTCTTCCTGAAAATGAAGCACTCCAAGAGTCACATGCAAAGCATGCAAGGGTAAGCATTGCTAACAAGGCAGTTTATCACATCAAGGATAAATTCACCTTCCTGCCCATGGAGCTTTTTACAGAAATACATCAGGTTTGTTTTTTTTTTCTCCTAGCAAGACCATAGCAAGAAAATCCTTACATTTTATGTTAATTCAAAGTGCCTCCAGTGAGGATAATTCAAATGATATCACTGTGACCAATAAGATTAAAACCAGATGAATTAGAGCATCTATAAATAGAAGAACATTCCTACCTTCTGCACTTTTTCTTTCAGCTTCCATGAAGTTTTAGACTGGTTTGATTTCCTTTGTATGCTTCATTACAAGATCTTCCTGCCCTTTCAACAGCTATTCCTTCAGACATATCTTTTGCTTATGGGACTGACGCTTGCCTTTACAGAGCAAGTTCTCTGCGTCTTTTATTCATACCCTCTTTTTAAATAGCTACAATTTCCATAGTCTATAAAACACGCTAGCTATATAATATGACAAAACCAGGGTAGAATTCTGGGGTCACAGTAGTCTATTTTGTAGTGAATATGCTATTTAGGTGGATATACTCCACTGAAAAATACTGGCTTTATTTTAGTTAACAATGTAGTACCGTAGTGATTCAGGACTGCAGGCTTCTGCAGTCTAGGGATAGGGGTTTTTTTGCTGTTCTGGTTTGAGTTTGGGTGTGTGACTCTCTCCCAACCATGCAGGCTTCCTCAAGTACAATCTTAGTTCTGTGACAAAGTACAAACGACAATTTGGGTTTTGTTATGTCTCTGATGCCAGGTCGAATTTTCCAGAATGCCAGAATAATATTATTCTAAGAGAACTAAAAAATACAGAAAAGATTTTCACAAAACCTGTTTTCTATATTTAAAAAAAAAAAAAAAAAAATCAGTGTTCCAACCTGACCTCATAAGAGAAATTCTGCCTTGGACCTTGTTCTCTTTAAGATTTTGGTTACAGAAGTTGAATACTCTGCCCTAATCTAGCTCAAGGATGTCAGCAGTTTGTTGTCACTGCAGCAACTCATGTACTTCAGGTTATGAACGTGAGTCAGTGTTCCACTGGATGAGGTCAGAGATCTGGGAATCTTGCAGAATTGACTACTGTGGAATAACTCAAAAGGCATTAATTTTAAAAGAAAAATGACATTGATTTCAGTACTTTTGGCATCCCATGCCTTTGAATATTTGAAAGCAAACCACCTGTTCAAGGTCTTAAAAGCCACTCTTGTTCTGGCTTTGGTAGAAGTCATCTGCTGCAGCTGTGGTATTTGATGTTTCAGTTCATCTACTTTATTAACAGCTTTGCTTTGGGAATTTAATACAGTTTCCATATCTTCTGTGCTATCAAAATTTACATTTCAAATAGCATAAATAACTTGTGGAATTTCCAATGTGAGTGACTACTAACAAGGGAAATACTTTAGAATTATATTAATAAGCATCTTACCTGCTTTTTGCAGGATTTCCTTCTCTGGAAGTGTATTTCTCTCTTCGACTACACATCTTCCACTACTATTTTTGACTATATCTTTTGATCCCAGAACTTCTTGTTGTGTTCCCTTAAGTTACACTTCCAAATCCTAAAAATATGCATATTACTTCTACGTTTATTACACATGTTCTTTTTTTGTCATCTGAAATAAATGGTCATTTTCTCTCTTGGTGTAGTTCCATAATATAAATCTTTCACCTACAGAGCTCGTTTAAATGCATTTTTTGCTCTTCCATACCCTTAAACTGTGTTTGCTGCCAGAATACTCGTAATGTGGAGCCACTCCCTCAGATGTAGTAGGCTTCACTGTAAAGTGAAGAGTCATCAAGAGTTATCATCTAAAAGATGTCTGAAATTATCCTAAACTTGGAATAGGATATACTTCCATTAATTTCATGACAACCTGTGCTACGAGTTACATGAATATTAGTTTGGGGTTTTTTCCAGTTGCTGAAGTACAATACTTTGTAACATAATCCATAATACAGATGTCTAAAACCAGAAAGTTTGGCTCCTACAGACTTTGCTGGGAATTGTCTGTCCATAACTGAAGGCAAAAATTTGAACCATATTTAACATTCTATTTCCGGAGGTTCTAGTTTCAGTTTCCAGATGTCTAACATCATACTGCAATATTCACTCAGACAAAATTGCCATTTGTTCCTATATGAACATTGAGTAAAACCTCATGGGTAAAAACTAACTTGTATTTAACACTCTCTGTAGTTGAAAACTTAAAGGTAAGCTTGTTCCTTTTACCTCTGGCATATGCCAAAATTCTTCCAAAACTAGACTGAACAGATCAGACATAATGACTTGTCATCCTTTGTATTGTCTCTTCCACAGTACTAATAATGAACGTGCACTAATGTGATGCCTTTCATCTAAAGGTCTCAAACCTCTTGGCGTACACTAAGGAGAAAACAGAAAATTCATCTTGCTTAAACATCAGTCCTTTTATCTTTCAGGCCTCACAACAGCTTTTCTTGCTAGTATTTACTAATAATCAGAGGTATTGGTATTACTGATTAAAGAAAAGTTTCTGTTTCCCAGACTGCCACTGTCCACAGGATTCTGAAAAAAAATGGGGTATTTAATGGTGGTATTAGAAATAGCCAATTTAGAAAGGAAAAACTTCTACTTTTTTATTTAAACTGGAAAGAAACAGAAAATAACACTGTGTCTAAATGTTTTCCTTCTTTCAGATTTATCCTAGTCTGAGGCTCTCTCTTTAAAGATTCAAGGCAATATGCTCTGGTGGTACGTTAATCAGCCTCATTCCATAGACTTAGAGGCTCTGAAACGTAGAAGTTAAGCATATGTCCCTCAGAAAATATTTCATTTTTATCCAGCTGATACTGAATTTAGAAATTAAATTGCTAATAACACCACCACCCAATTTCCAGTTCCTATCATGTTTTACATTATTCCTAAAAGACTGCATTTCTTATACAATAAATCAGAACAGTAAACCACATGCATAAATTTGCATGTCTCCATTCTTCATTTGTCCTGAATGTTACTTCAAGTACCCACAAGAAATCAGCATCTTAGTTTCCCTCTTCCCCTCTATCACTTCTAACTCTACAGAGACAGGACACTTTTCTGTATTGAAAAATATTATGGATTTCCCTGACTCAATTTTAAAAAATAGTTTTTCTCCATCTCTGCATTCATTATATCTTCTCCACTTTTCTGCAGAAGTTAGAGGTTGTTCTGCTACAGATCTACACACCGAGAGAATGGAGTCTGAATAATGTTGGGGAAGGCATATTCAATTCACCCTCTGATCTTGTGAAACAGAAAGGCAGCAACTGTATTGAAGACTGAACTCCCTCCAAGAACATCCTCAAAAAAGAGGCCCAGAACTCTGTACAATCAGCAAAATGATACTGACAGGCAAGATGTGAGGGCAGATGGTGAAAAGGGGCAGAGTTGTCTTGGAGGAACACAGCTGACTGGGGTGACCCTGCTCTCTCCAGGATTCTGGGGTTCTCTGACTCTAAAGGAGATAAATCATCTTTCCCATCAGAAAACAGTTATTGTTATTCTGAAATACTCCCAAGTCCAGACCTTCAAGGTGTTTTCTTATCTAATATGCAAGATTGCTGTCATAGGGCTGCAGACAGGTCTGGTAGGTAAGTTTATGTGATGGGAAGGACCAATAGTATTAGAAGGAAGTGGAACTGTTGAGTGCAGAGCATGGCTGGATGCTTTGGGTTCAGTGCAGTTCATCGGTGTCTCTCCCACATCCAGACCTTACATACCAAATGCAACTGGTTGACAGATTGCCCATGATGTGCCAACCTCTGAAACTGCATCTGACACACGATGCAATTAAGCAGAAAGGGGCTGCAGAGCTGTGCTGCAAATGTATGAGATATACACCAGCTGTGGTAGACAGGCAAAGTGTGTGGTGAGAACTAATGCTGAAAGTCTCATGGCTCAGCACATAAAACTTCACGGGTGTAAACTCCCTTAAACGTCACTTGGTACAAGCCACTGTTCCAAGAGTCATACAATACAAAGCGTCTGACTCCCAACCTGCCAGCTCAGGTCTCTTATCTAGCCCTGTTTATATCCGTGCATTGAGCTGTTGGCAACCACAAGGGAAAAGGAGAACATATTCTGTAAATACTCATTGCTAGCATTAACGCCTGCTTGGTGTTCTCTTCACATTTCTGGGCAGGAAAGGTAAAGCTCTGTTCAGTCAACAGACAAATTTTACCTCACTTCCCCCTCAGGGAATACAAAGTCTAGGGTTCAAAGAGTTCTCCTAATGAGTTACTAATCATCTTAACTCTTTCTTTAAAACTCTCAGCACTATATCCCTTCTATTTCTAAGCCTCTAAAACTGCTTTAGTGCTTACAAAGTATTTGTCTTAATATGACAATATTGTCTCCTCCCCTGAATTTTGAAGAAATGATAATTTGCACTTTTATAGGCAGAGATAGGGATCACATTCTCATACTCTACCTGTATTCTCTCCTTCAGCTTCTGGGAATGCTTCTTCCTCTCATTTATCTTCTGGCTTTTCTCCTCTAGGTCTGCCTCCAGCTTCTTTACCTGCTGCAGCAAAAAACATTCCTCAGCCTCTGAGCTCTTCCTTTGCTCCATTTCTCCTTGCTGACAATTCTTCTTTGTTTCTATCATAGATTGCTGCATAGCCTTTTTCAAAGTCTCTTTTTCTCTCTCATAAGAGGCTTGCAGTTTGCTTGTTTTCTGAGTGTATTCTTCAGTTACTCTCTGTTTCTCACTCTTCACGTTTTCCATCTCATTTATTAGACCTTGTCCTTCCATACTGCATTTTTCATCTAAAATTACTTTTTTATCTAAATTTGCTCTCCTAGATGCTTTACATTCATTTAGCAGTCCACCAGACTCCTGACTTAAATGTAGGAGCTTGTTTTCAAAGTCTGCATCGGTATATACTGTGTCTGTAGAAATGACCACCTGTGCTTGTTTCGCTTCTATTCTCAGCTCTCTCTCTTCCACCTGCTTCTTGCACAATGTTAACTCTGCCAAGGCTTCTTCCTTTAGTCTCTTGTGTTGTTCTACTGCAATTTCAAGGGCCTGAATACGTCTTCTCAGCAATTGTTCTTCTTCAACTTTGCTTTTACACTGGAGAATCGTTTCCCTTGTCTCAGCAAGAATGTGCTGAATTTCTTCTTCATGAGCCTCTCTCAGAGCCTGTATACTAGCCTCATGTTCATCATTCTTAGTGTTCAGGGCATATATCACCTATAGAATGAGAAAAATAACAGGACATTAAAGTATCTGGTAAATGGTAGCAGTTACTATATTTATCAAAGTGCTAAATGCTAAAAGACAATTACTGCTACAGTTTAATCTTTTTTGTTGTTATTTCTTTTTGTTGGTTTTTTTTTTTCTTTCACTAGGAACAGAAAGGACAATTACAAACTGCAAAACCTTATAGGGAGAGAAGACAATACTGTGAGAAACATATTTTTTTTTCCACTTTCTGTGAGAAATTTCCTTTTTTATTCTTGGCAAGTTGTCACTTCATGTCCCTAGTTTGACCTCTAATACAAGGAATGAAATAAGGCCCCTTTTCTAGGTAAGTGCCTCCGTATATGTAGTCCACTACACCTAGCCTTCAGTGCAGGAGGACTACCTGTCACGTTGCCTTTAACATTATCATGTGCTGGGGACCAGTAGTGGCAGATCTGTAGAATGAAAACTGAAGTCCTGACATCCAGTTCATATGGGCCAAAATCATTCGGTGATGTAAACGAAAGGGAAGTTTGTAAGGAGGATTAAAATTTGCTCTCCTGACTCAAACTAACACACCCCTGAAGATGCACTCCTGGAAGCCATATGCCTGGCAAGTCAGCTTGGTCAGCATTTCAAGATAGGTATTACTTGACTGCAAGCACCTTTTGACTTGATTCTGAGAAGTGTTCAGGCAATGTTTGGGGTTTTTTTACCCTCACTTCATAACAGCTATAAATCTCAGAAATCAGGTTTTAGCAGATTCAAGCAAGCTTCTGATAACAATAAGCAATTTTTTCAAACAATTGATTTAAACCTTTTGATGCTTTATTTTCTTCTACAAAATGCAGAATAATTCTCATGACTATAAGACAAATTATTACCCCAAGCAGGCTTCATCAGCTATCCACACACACATGATATACAACAAAGACGTCTCACAGAAGCTGTTGTACAAGCAGGCTACAATAATTTTGAAAATACAATTAGAAGCCCATAGTAGACTGAAATGAAAAGTTCAGAGTCAAAACTGGTGAATTTGCATGTTGAGGTTACAAGAGAGTTATATATAATTGCAAAACATAGTAACTGCCTTGAAAAGACACATGCTTGTCTTTTCAGGCCCCCATTAGAACAAACACAGGGAGCCCAATCCAGTTTCTACTGGGAATACTTATCTAACTTAAGGGGAACAACACGTTAATGTATTAACGTATGTGTGGAAGTTTTCCACTTGTTTGGTTGATCTTTTTTGTTTTTTAAGAGAACTTACTGCTCTACAAAACTAGGTTTGGAATTTGCATACAAGTTATGACAGATACTCTCAGTCTGACCTGAGCCCATAGAGGTTAACCAAAAGATTCCTAGACAATGTTTGAGAAAATAATAGTCTTAAGTACATAAACACAGAAGCAAGGCCACAACCAGTTCTTAAATTATACTAGAATTTTGGCCCTGTAATCTTCAATATTTCCTCAGGGAAAGCCTCAACTGAGAAACTAAGAGGCGTCTTGACCACCATAAGCATCACAAGTCTGTAGTCTGTGTTGTATAAGCCCTGAGGATGTCCCAGAATTATTGAATTTGCTTAGCTACGTCTGACCATTTTTTGTGCTATCTGTAGATGAATAGCATTGAATTTCAGTCATCCATAAACGAAAGCAAACACACAAATATATTTTGTGTGTACTCAACTTCCTCCCTGGCAGTAATGAATTAAGTACAGAAATCTTAAAAGGTCACAAATGCAAAACACAGTCTGGATACATTTCTGGATAAACATGTGACAAAAGAGAGTAACAGCGTTATATTCCAGAAGACAAGCAGACAAGAAGTCATTGTCTGCATTTAAATATGCTTATTTTTGGGCCTTAGATTACATGCTGTTAATTCTTCTCTGTTATTTTTAACCATTCTTCCTTTGAAACATAAATAGTTGCAGAATACTGAGCAGACTCCTTCTCCTCACTAACGAAATTGTTCTATGAACCTTTCTTAACTGTTCAGGAGACAGACATAAAAAGTACAAGGAGAAGATTAATTTTGCCCATGGGTTTAGAATGACCAGTAATTAGTTGGGCAACTCTTTATTTGACTAGGTCAGATGTTGATGATCACATTTCCGTGTTTCATTCCACTGGCACAACAGAGATGAGCATGTAGCCTTTGTGACTCAAAGACTTCCATTCTTAACAATTAATTTATCTAGTAAATCAGCAGTGCCTGTCTCATATTATGCTGTGTTCAGGCTGATGATGGAATTTGGGTTCCTCTCAACTCTGGCTTCATCAGAGAGATCTCCCAAATTCCACTGAGCATTAGACCATCACCAGTACCTTGAGTTATCTAAAAGAATGGAAGAAATTGGCCTCCCTGCTCTATTATTCCTACACTTCAGTTCAATAGTGGCTAGAACCACAATGAAGACTTTTCACTTGAAAATGCATGCCCTTAAATTTAATCTTCAAGCTTGAGTGCTGAAACTGATTCCTCAGTATCTTAACCTTCTTAAGAGATTTATTTTTTAGAGGGCTGCTGCTCTGTACTTTATAAAATTTAAGTCCCTCACACATGCCTTTCACTCCCTACTGAATATAGCTACTATATTCCTACTCCAGATACCTCATTTAAGAGACTGGAGTTATGTGAGATGAATCTGGGACTTTGTGTGCTGGAAGGAAAAGTACTGAAAAATTATTTCAGCATCTGTACTTAGCAAGTGCACACACTGCTGGCTAATGTGGTATAAACCTCTCAACAGTTGTGTTGATAAACAGCTTTTTAAAAGAAGCTCTAAAATTGTTCAGTTTGACAATACAGACAGAATTGCTTTCAAATGAAAAGAGCACTACATTACTCTTTGAGTTGCTAGCATAATACTAATGGCTACTGCCTCCTTACAGTTCTCCAAAACTGAATGTATTGGGAAACATTGTACTGATTTTACAGCAAGTGAGAGTTATCTGACAGGTTGGTAAAAACACTATTACACGCATACACTTCAACATTAACAGTGCAGTGAATATGAATACATCTTATTACTCCTATTTTATCCTCCAAATCTAAATGGCATTTCCCTTCTCTTTTCCTTATAGTCATGTAAAATAACAAAAAATAAAACATTCAACTTCACCTCATCAGTGAGGACAAAGCTAAAGCATTCAAACCAAAAAAGACTTTTCTATCTTCCTACAGTTGTATTAAACACTACCCTTGCAGGAGCCTATCATAATGGAAAAAATGGTTCTAGCAGGTTGCTTTACTAGCTGAGTAAGAAGTGAGACAGTTTGATATGGAAAGTGAGGACTGAGGATGATAAGAAGAGTCAAAGAAAGGCAACAGATCATAAGTGTTCTTCCTTCAGGCCCAAGCTAGTGGGCACAAATCCTTCCTCACAGAGAAAAGGGAAAGGGAAGGAACACAGAAATGAGAAAAGGCCCTGGAGAGGGGTGCCAGACAGGGTATTCCTGGTAGCACCGTGAACCAAGCACAGAAGGAGACAAGTTTTGCTTGCTAATTAGCTTGCTAGAGGCTCATTGATACCAGGTGACGACATCATCTCCTTTTCACTAGTAGTGGTAGTATCTTATCTTCACTAGCAGGTGAATTTGTTTCCATGAATTCTGTCTTGTCTACTTCTCAAGCAGACCAAACCAGAGTAAGATATTGTTCTGGTTTTGGCTGAGATGATAGTTAATTTTCTTTCTAGTAGCTGATACAGAGCTGTGTTTTAGATTTAGTATGAGAATAATGTTGATAACATACTGATATTCTAGTTGTAGTGCTTACACTAAGTCAAGGACTTTTCAGCTTCTCACACCCTGCTAGGTGTGCAAGAAGCTGGGGGAGCTCAGCCAGGACAGCTGACCCAGACCGGGATATTTCATACCAATTAACATCATGCTCAGTATATAACTGGGGAAGCTAGCTAGCACGTAGAATTTGCTCCTTGGAAACAGACTGGGCCTTGGGTTGCTTTTTTTCCTTCCACATGTGGGGAGCAATTGCATTTGTGCATCACTTATTTTATATATTATTGTTGTTGTTATTCTCTTCCTTTGTTACCCTATTAAACTGTCTTTATCTCAACCCATAAGTCCGGGTGGGTTTTTTTTCCATTCTCCTCCCCATCCCCTTGGGGGGGAAAGGAGGAGTGAGTGAGCAGCTGTGTGGTGCTTGGTTACTGGCTGGGGTTAAACCATGACAAGTATCTAAATATGTCAGCCTTAAAAGTGTCTCTTTTAAAGCAATGAACAGAGAAATTATTAAAAGTAAGTTCAGTTATTTAAAGAAATGGCTTTGTATCCCTTAGCCTCCTCAGTCACTGTAACTATGCAGATTAGAAAATATGACCAACTCTCACAAGTTATTAATTAAAAGTCTAATAAGTATCTTTTGTTCTTTATAACACTGAATAAGGAAGAATGTCTTTTAATTAAGGTACAGGCGTAGACTATGATTAGCTACAGTGCTGATCCAATTTTATACCTATGCTGATTTCATCTGAATGATACTGCTGTAACATCTGATCAGGGACCTCATGAACTAAGTTTCATACCTCTCCTTGTGTCCTCTGTGGCTTCCTGAAAGCACAAGAATAATTCTGTGCAAATAGTTGCAGCAACTGTTGATAATATTACCCATTTATGTGTTTATATGAGAGAAGTCTTAAAAAAAATTGGTACTCCAAACATCCAGCAGTCTTTCAGAACCTAAAATTACAAAAATATCTTTAATATCACAAGGAATTTTGTTTATATTTTTAAAGTTTTGTGGTTGTTTTTTTAAATTTGCTTTATGATTTTTTTAGTCCTCCAGGTGTGCCTTCACCACCTTGCAAAAACACAAGCTGAAGTAATTTATTTTTCTCTGAAATGAAAGCTCAGCTTCAGCTGAACTAACTTTGTTTCCAAAAGCTGGAGTTCTGTGGAAAAATACCAAAAGTTTCTTTTGTGAGCTTTCAGATTACATAGCCTACTACAATCCCATTCATTAGAAAAATGCTATAA